AATATATGTTTTATTTAATTTTTGTTAATTTATTCTAATCCATAGACAATATGTTTTATTTAATTTTTGTTAATTTGTTCTAGTCCATAGACAATATATGTTTTATTTAATTTTTGTTAATTTATTCTAATCCATAGACAATATATGTTTTATTTAATTTTTGTTAATTTGTTCTAATCCATAGACAGTATGTTTTATTTCATTTTTGTTAATTTGTTCTAATCCATAGACAATATATGTTTTATTTAATTTTTGTTAATTTGTTCTAGTCCATAGACAATATGTTTTATTTAATTTTTGTCAATTTATTCTAATCCATAGACAATATATGTTTTATTTAATTTTTGTTAATTTGTTCTAATCCATAGACAGTATGTTTTATTTAATTTTTTTTAATTTGTTCTAATCCATAGACAATATTTTTTATTTAATTTTTGTTAATTTGTTCTAGTCCATGGACAATATGTTTTATTTAATTTTTGTTAATTTGTTCTAGTCCATGGACAATATTTGTTTTATTTAATTTTTGTTAATTTATTCTAGTCCATGGACAATATATGTTTTATTTGATTTTTGTTAATTTGTTCTAGTCCATGGACAATATATGTTTTATTTGATTTTTGTTAATTTGTTCTAGTCCATGGACAACAACACTCACCGCCAACTCTGGGTTACTCTAATATAATACTTGGATTTGACAGTCACTCTTATAACGCACACTCGACTACAAAATGCAGAGCGTGATTTTTGTTGGCGTTAACGGAGCACGGACAATGAATCCACAGTCCAGCACGCTAACCACTGGGCCACTCAGATACACAGTCCGGCACGCTAACCATTGTGCCACTCATATACACAGTGTGGCACGCTTACCATTGAGCCACTCAGATACACAGTGTGGCACGTTTACCATTGGGCCAATCAGATACACAGTCCGGCACGCTAACCACTGAGCCACGCTCGGCCTATTCAATTTCTTCACTGACTTGGATATGATCATCCTTTTACTAAACCTTCTCACATGTCATGTCTGATTCTAAACTTTAATTTAGTTTTGTACAGCCATTTAACGACACTTATAATGTCAAACCTCGGTTAGTTTTTACAGTACACAATGTAGTTTTTATCATACATATTCTTTTCAATTTAAGTCACTAGCCGTCATTAATATGTTTTTAATAATTTGATTATAAACCAATAAGCCAAAAACCTGAAATAAAAATCACGTAACGTTTTCCTCTCCCATTCTTTATAGTTAACGTGATTTTTATCACAAATTTTAGGCCTGTTGGTTTCTTGTTTTTATTAGAGCAAAACCACATTGTGCTATATGCTGTGCCCCCGCGGGGAATCGAACCTCGGATTTTAGTGTTGTAAATCCATAGACTTGCCTTAATCCCATTTGTTGATTTCTAATGCATAGCTAGCTTTCGGTGACATTTGATTTACGACGTTTAATCCACTATATATATATATATGTGTGTGTGTGTGTGTTGTTTAAAATATTATTAACTGCATGCATGGAATTAGCTGTATGTAACTGTTTTATAAGATAATTTTACGTGTAAACTCATTCCCTCACTTTTTTCTACTCTCGTTAATAGGTGTTACGATGTGTACCGAACGGCGAATATGGTCGTCGTCGTGGGAGTCCAAGTCCAGCTCCTCGCATGCGCCGGACGTGTTGCAAACGGTTTGACGTTGCCATCGCGATAGACAAGTTTTCTCGATATTTCTTTCCGTTTTCGTTTGTTGTGTTAAATATTGTGTACTGGATGACATACGCCAATCCATTAAAGTAAAAGTTCAAAATATATTCACGATCGTACCAGTAGAAACAATATGGAACAAAAAAGAAAACTATCCAGCTACCAGTTACTTATAATTCAATAACGCTTCTTTCTAATATGGCGTATAAATACATTTTAACTTTCGCGAATTGTGTGGCACTCTTTAAACTTTCATTTGCTGTAGCTTGGTTACAAATTCGTCATCTAAGCCTTTATTATACCAAAACTAAATATGACTGTAGAATATGAAAATCAATAATAATTATATTGCCCTGCCAGAAGCGTTCAACCATTTAGCCAGTGTTGATGTAACGTAGCATCAGCTTTGGCCTGAATAAATGCTCCTACTTTGCTACATTCCAGGCTGATAAGTTTAAGTATTCATGAAACCCAAGTTGTGAAAATGTTATTCAGAGAATAAAATGAACACAAGAAATATTATTAGGCATGAGTTCATTTAACTCTAGTTCGTTTAAAAGCTATAACTGGCTACTGTGGTACAATCACACCAGCGCAGGAGAAAGACGAAAATATAAAAGGCTAAAGTCCTAATACGGTATCCCACAATCCTTGGATTTCTTACGTCTACTATAATTCCTATTGAATTTCTTCAAAGGAGATAAACTCCAAACTCGTAATAACTTGTATGGACGTAACACAGAAATAGGGCCAATAAAGTATAAGCTTATAGAACATACTAGTTAGGAAAGAATGAAAACATTTCATAACATCAGACAGATTTTTCATAACTTTTATTTTTCAATTTATCTAGACATGCTTGTAATTAGCTGATCGCAAACTGAGCTTCAAAATATTTACCATCACTCCAGTTACTTCAGAACAACACAGTTGTTCAAATGATGTTTTTATTTTGAAACAAAAAATGAGCATACAGTGACTGACACTAGGTGTCACTTTTATTTCTGTTTGGAGTATACAAATTTTCGGACTATACTACAGCACAATTTATCTACGTAAACACAATTATTTCAAGGTTAATATTACTTTCATTTTTAGAGTTAGCTATTACTCTCTGTGTTATTATGTAGAGCAACAATAAATAAAACTCATTTTTTAAAAAACAACTTATTGTGTTTGAGAAACAACACATTTCTACTAAGTCTCTCTGAAGTTTTCCACACACATTTCTTCTAAGTCTCTCTGAAGTTTTCCACACACATTTCTACTAAGTCTCTCTGAAGTTTTCCACACACATTTCTTCTAAGTCTCTCTGAAGTCTTCCTTTGTCTGTCTGGAATGAGAGTAGAAGCCAACCGAGGATAACTCCGATACAACGAGCAAGGTTTAAGTTCCTCCACTGTATCACTTCACTTTCCATGTTCTATAAAAACATTATAACAATAAGTAGAAAAAGATTATGACTCAATAAAACAAGTTCAAGTGACAAAAGTTAAATGTATAAACATCTTTTATATTTTAAACAATGCTAAATAAATTAATATAAATATCCTACAACTTACATATTTTCTTACAGGCCATAGATTCTATCACAGTTTTTATATAATGGAAAAAATGAGGACTTCCATGTATGAAGGCTCAACTTATGCTACCAGTGGCATAACTTTAAATGGTTCCTATTATAATTACAACAAACTTACTTGCTTATTAATATATAACATAATCAAAGCTGTATAAACTTGTATGTTAACGAATCACTAGTCATTCATTTGAACAGTGGTAAGTGTTCACATTATGTTTTTATATGGCTACACTGTTTAACAGCTACCTTTTAACCAATCATACACTGTTTAACAGCTACCTTTTAACCAATCATACACTCATCAACAGGTAGCTTTTAACCAATCATACACTCATTAACAGGTAGCTTTTAACCAATGATACACTGTTTAACAACTACCTTTTAACCAATCATACACTCATTAACAGGTAGCTTTTAACCAATAATACACTGTTTAACAGGTAGCTATTAACCAATCATACACTGTTTAACAGCTACCTTTTAACCAATCATACACTGTTTAAAAGGTAGCTTTTTCCCAGTTATACATTGTTTAACAGCTAGCTTTTCACCAATCATACAATGTTTAACTGAAAAACTGGGATCTGTGTGTTACTCATTTACTAAAACTTCAGAATCAAACGTGCACAGAGAGCTATGACCTTATAGACCAACTAAAAATGTAGACCTTAATTACTCCTATCAGGAGAGACATACAAAAGCCTTTAATAACTACAGAAAACTAAGGTGTAAAAGAAGATTTTATTACCTGTACTCATTAGATTAATGAACTCACATAACTTATTGTGTTATGATTTGGTCTCATGCACACTCTGGAAATAATTTCTGTCAAATATACAGTGTAGGTTAAAACAACAACTACTTCAGGACTGTACTAAAATTAGAGAAAGTTATCACTCATCAAGAGAAAAATCACTACATTCAGGAATGGGATCGAGGTTATGATCTTCCAGTATGTACATACTAAATTCAAAAATCTATCGTCCAATGACTGATGAATATTTCTTGACTACTAAAGAAAGAGCGACTTGTGTTGTAGTAAGGTTGCAACATTAGTGATCATCCCATCTTTGGTAAACAGATGTTACTATGTCAATAAATGATGTATGAACTTGTTTGTTCAAGCTGACAGATGTTACTATGTCAAGAAATGATGTAAGAACTTGTTTGTTCAAGCTAACAGATGTTACTATGTCAATAAATGATGTATGAACTTGTTTGTTCAAGCTAACAGATGTTACTATGTCAATATATGTCTAAGTAAATGATGTAAGAACTTGTTTGTTCAAGCTAACAGATGTTACTATGTCAATAAATGATATAAGAAGTTGTTTGTTCAAGCTAACAGATGTTACTATGTCAATAAATGATGTATGAACTTGTTTTTTCAAGCTAACAGATGTTACTATATCAAGAAATGATGCAAGAACTTGTTTGTTCAAGCTAACAGATGTTACTATGTCAAGAAATGATGTATGAACTTGTTTGTTCAAGCTAACAGATATCACTGTGTCAAGAAATGATGTAAGAACTTGTTTGTTCAAGCTAACAGATATC